TTCCTGACTGGAGTTCCAACTTTCATTCAGTCAACCACGATGCAGTTTTATACAGCCGCAGTTACCGAGTTAATTATCTCCAGCCTTCTATAGACCCGGAGGGCCCCGGAGGGCAGCTTTTCAAATCAATCAAACATCTCATTCAATCACAATGCATATTAAAGCTCTATGAAATCTTAAAACTCTTAGTCCAGACATGTATTTGTTTACCGAAACGTATTTTATAACGACTGATAGCACCGTCTGAAATCTGTCTTTAAATGGTCAGCCCCAATCACACTTGCTACGCGGAAAACACACATCATTGGTAATGGCACCTCAGATTGGGCATGTTGACTGTAGGCCAGCCTATTGAAATGAAGGGGGCGTCCCTATGTGAATGTGCAGGAATGCTGTGCGCGTTCACAAGCTAGCAAGTGTTAATAGGGCTCCACAGCAGGTATCAATATGAGACTGTGGATGTGTGCAATGTAAGCCGATCACAATGTATTGCACTGCACAGTGATAGAGATTTACAGGGTTATTCACAAAAGGGTGAAGAGTTTGGAGAAGGCCGGAGAAGTGAACAATCTAGGACAACATCGCTGAACTGGACAGTGACCTGAATTGGAGAATTTGTCCAAATCAGCTATTTTGGCCTAGATTGTTCACTTCTCCGGCCTTCTCCAAACTCTTCACCCTTCTGTGAATAACCCCCTTAATGTTTTCAGGCACTGGAAGCCATTTTAGGGATGGCTCAGAGCTTCGCTGGAATTGAGAATCTCAGCAGTTTTTGTTGCCCTTTAACTGTCCAATGAGAAGGCAGGTGGCACAGGAAGCTGCAGTAGTGAATAGAGTGCCACTGTACAGGCTGTCAGTGTGGCATGGATCCCAAGAGCGACTTTACACAATTACAAACATTTGTCATGTAAGAAAGCCCTCGTGTATGGATTTTAACTGTAACCAGCTTGTTTTGCTAGAGTTCCTATAGGAAGCTTACAACCAGCATTATTCAAAGCACTTCCTGTGAGCCCAGGCTGTCATGGACACACCTCCTGGTGCTAAAGAAAGGAGCAGAAGGCATCCAGGCAATGGGGGTGGTCTAAGCTACAGCCTCAGGGTGCATACACCAAGTTACCTATTCCACTAATGGAGTCAAAGAAACACAATGCCGCTTTA